ACCCAAGAGAGCTTGAGCCAGGCCCTCCTCTACCTTAATGGGCCACGTCTGCACCTGAAACCAAGCCCAAAGGGTGTGGCCACTACTACAAGTTCACTAGCAAGACAAGATGCCACTACATCCATGTACTCAGAGTTTCATTTAAGGAGGTCCTTGATAAAGCAGAAAAATAATTCTGTATACACAGTATACAATGTTATATGTAATATTTTAATAATGTCTCATAATTTTATACAATATTGTGTCTTGTGACATGAAGTGGGAGATGCATTGAGAACATTTTTCATACTGAAAAAATCGTGGCTATGGAAAAGTCAAGGACAGCATGACCACTTTCATTATAAACTGTCCTGGTTGGTTTTTGTCAACTTGACACAAACCTGGACATATCTGGGAATAGGTAATATTAATTAAATAACTGTATTCATCAGATTGACAAATAGGCAAGCCTAAGGGTGCATTTTCTTGATTAATGATTGATATGGGAGGGCCCAGTCCACTGAGGGCGGTGCTAGCACTGGACAGATGGTCCTGTGTTATGTAGGAAGTACAATGAACAAGTCATGGGGAGCAAGTCAGTGAGCAGTGCTCCTCCACAGTCTCTGCTTTAGTTCTTGCCTCCAGGTCCCTGCCTTGAGTTCCTGCCCTGACTTCCCTCATTGATAGACTGTAACCTGAGCCTTAGAAGCTGAAATAAAATCTCTCTCCCCACGTTGCTTTCAGTCATGGTGTTTTATTAGAGGCATAGAAGCTGTAACTAAGACACAAGCTATACCAGCCATTGGTCAGTTTATGTTCATGGAACACTATTTTCCTGGAAGAAAAGACTGGCAATAATTGATTGTTTATGCTCAGGGTTTTGGCAGTTTATTTTTAGACATGAATAGGTCTGCACTCCCCATTCATGGACAATGCTTATCATTTATCATTTGTTGCTAATTGTAAAGTTTGATTTTCTAGCAAAAGAAATGAAATTATAGATAACCTATCTCAACTTCCCTCTATATAGGTTTTTCTGATGAGACTGATGGTGATATAAATAAATTGGAGGTTATTATATAAGAAATATGTTTCCAGGCAGTGATGAAGCACACCTTTGATCCCAGCATTCAGGAGGCAGAGGCAGGCGGATCTCTGTGAGTTTGAGGCCATCTGGGTCTACAGAGCGAGTTCCAGGACAGCCAGGGCTACACAGAGAACCCTGTCTCAAAAACAGAAAGAAAGATAGAAAGAAATATGTAAACATTTGAAAGATCTGTTTAACTCATTGCACCAAATCTTCCAAATGTAGATGTTACAGAGACATGTTTAGGTAAGAGATACATTTCAAAGAGAAAGTTAGAATAACTAATTTTAATATAAAAAACAAATGTTTATTGACCTCATTTAGAATACACATCACAGCTTTTAAGTTTGACTTAACTACCTGTTGAGTAATTTCAAAGACTTCACAATTACCTACAAGTTCACTAGAACACAGCTTCCTTCACTTCCAGTTACATATCTGGCTGGATTTTCTTCATAGATTTTAAGCAAAACAAATCATTAAGGGATGTATAAACACAGGAGTAGCTATAGCTACCTAGCTGAGCATTATAGAGATTTGTAAAAATATAAAAGTAACACTTTTAGTTTTCCCTTGTCTTAGAAGTTATCTTCTGCAGAAAAAGCCACTATTGCTAATATGTATTAGGCTTCCTATCATTATTTTAAATATTTATTTTTAATTATTTTTTGAGATGGTGTTTCTCTGAGTAGCCCCAGGTGTCTTGGGACTCTCTCAGTAGATCAGGCTGGCCCCACTTGCCTCTGCCTCCTGAATGCCGAGATTAAAGACATGCACCACCATTACTGCACTAAATATTTTTTAAAATAGTTTTATTTATTTTGATTATGTGTTTCTCTGGTGTGTGCCTGTATGGCGGTGCATGCATGTCCATGCAGTTGGGCTTACTGACCAGAAAGGGGCATTATATACTCTGGAGCTGGAATTTCAGGTGGTTGTGAACTGCCTGATGTGGTTTCTAGGAACAGAACTTGGGTCCTCTGGAAGAGCAGTACATGATTTTAACTGCTAAGCAATTTCCTTAGCCACTTACCATTATTTTAAATTGATTACCAGTTTTGCTTTGAGACAGGCCCAGGCTATCTTGAACTCCTGACCTTTCTACCTCAGCTTCCTGGGTGCTGGGATGACAGTCATGCTCAGCTGAATTGATTACTAAATAATATTTTAACTGCTTCACTTTCAGTTTCTAAATGAAAGCTCTGTAGGATCCTCAGTAACTGAGAAGAATGACATTCTGGTACCCAGAAGCTTAAGATTGATCAAGAACTGTCTGGTGGCACTTTGTGCATCCTCAGATCCCACCCACCTCGCAACTTCAGTGACTTACAACAAAGAGGGAGGGGAGCTAGGGGCTCACCCTCTTTCACAATCTTGGAAACTTGAGCAGGGTGAACAACTAGGAGACTGGCCAAGCCCAGAAACAGCTCAACTCTGGAGGACTCAGGGCTGCAGCTCCAGGAACGTGCTTCTAGATCCTCGAGGAGATAGCGTGGTCCGTGCAGTCCACTGGGGACCACAGGCTTCTCAACAGAGAATCATGCGGGCTGTACAGGAAGGGTTGAAGGCCTGAGGGAGCCAAGGGCTCCTTGGCTGGTCCCTTCCCTTCCACTATTGTGCAGTCAGACTCTGCTCCAGATGCTCTTTAGAAAAGTAGGGCTGGTGTGGCTGTCTATGCCCCTGTCTGAGCAGAGTGGCCATGCATAACTTCATTCAGCTCCTCTGACCCTTCTCTCCATAGCTGCTGTTCCCTGTAGCTCCAAATGTCTCTGTGGGAGGGAGGCCTGTGTCTTAGTGCACTTTGTGGGACCCTCCTCACTCTTATATTGTCAACTCACTGTGGCCTCTCTCTGGGGATCACCCTGAGAGGCGCAGACCTGCCACCCCAGCAGAGACCAGGGCTGCAGAAGAGTCAGTTGGCTATGAACCCAGTCTGCCCACATAATCTAGCATCCAGCTCTAGAACCACTTTCCCCTGGGTATCCTCTGCACCATCTTTCCTTCAAGGCTTCTCCACCCACTGCATTAGGGATAGGCACTTTGTGCCTTTGTGTTCCTACTCCCTGAGTGCAGCAGTTGTCGGCTACCTACCGTCACATGAGTCAGCTCTCAGTGTTAGTTCTTCTAGTTGTCTACTCCAAGGCCACCTGCTTTCCTTCATGAGCCAGATAGGCTTATTTGGGTCTGTTTATTTTTCCTATAAACCCTTTCTAGGTCTCAGAGGGGAAGGCAAGTTTTTGTTTTACCCCAGGTAAAATTCATAAAGCACTGAATGCATCATTTTAACCAATTAAGCTGGGCCAGGTAGCATAGATCTGTAATCCCAGATACTTAGGAGGCTGAGACAAGATGATCTGAAGTTCTAGAGGAAGTTCAAGGTCGGCCTAAGGCACTGAATGACATTTTTTTCTATTTGATTGATTGATTGATTGATTGATTGATTGATTGATTTATGTCTTCTGCCTGCATGCCAGCAGAGGGCACCAGATCTCATTCAAGGTGGTTGTGACCCACCATGTGGTTGCTGGGAACTGAACTCAGGACCTCTGGAAGAAGAGTCAGTGCTCTTAATCACTGAGCCGTCTCTCTAGCCCCCTGAATGAGATCTTGTCTCAAAATTACAAAAAGAGAATGCTTGCCTAGCATTAGTAGCCTTACAAACCTGGGTGCAGTCCCTGGAAGCACAGAACAAACAAAGTGAACACGCTTGGTGATTTTAGGTTAAACATTGTGATCTGATTGCAGAATATTGTCTCCCAAACTCAGAGCTATCAATCATTCCCAGTTCCCCTCCTCCATAATCTACCCCTGGAAACCCGACCCCTGGAAACCCCTAATCTATGGATTTCCTTGCTCTGGACATTTTATGTAAATGGGATTAACACAATTTGTATTTTTAAAAGAGAAATTGAAGCCGGGCGTTGGTGGCACATGCCTTTAATCCCAGCACTCGGGAGGCAGAGGCAGGTGGATCTCTGTGAGTTCGAGGCCAGCCCCGTCTCCAGAGCGAGCGCCAGGATAGGCTCCAAAGCTACACAGAGAAACCCTGTCTCAAAAAATCAAAAAAGAGAGAGAGAGAGAGAAATTGAATATCTTCTTTGAAGATTATTCATGTTTGCTTATTAATTTTATTTTTATCATTTAAAAAGATGGCTTGAGACAGTCTCCCAGGTAGCCCAGGCTAGCCTCAAACTCACTGTGTAGCTAAGGCTGGCCTTGAACTGCTGGTCCTCCTGCCTCTGGTGCCTGAGCGATAGTAAACCACCATAGGTAGATTATGCGGTGCTTGGGATTAAGCCCAGGGCCTGTACACACTAGATAAGCACTCTACCTACTAAGCTGCATCACCCGCCCTAAATGTTCATTTTCACTCGTAGGGTCTGGAGATGTAGTTCAGTGGTCGTGTGCTTGCCTAAGACAGTGGGGCCTGGGTTACCCTGCAGCATAGGTGTGGGGGTGGTGGCAGAGCTGGGAGAATAGAGGGGCAGGTATGACACAACTCATGAGAAGTCAGCTCAGACACTTTCTTTTCTTTCTCTTCCTCTTCTGCCTCCCCCTCCTCCTTCTCCTCCCCCCCCACCCCTACTTCTTCCTCTTTTTGAGGCTGGCCTGGAACTCTCTACATAGACCAAGTTGGCCTTAAACTCACAGAAATCCACCTGTGTCTTTTTCCTAGGTGCTGGGATTAAAGACACACACTACCATGCCTGCCAATTGGACATTTTTTTTTAAAGTCCTTCTGATTACACTGTTGTTTAGTGGCCCCCAAAGCTAATGGAGAAGTATGACAGCCATTGGACATTCCTAGGTCACGCTGGTTTTGTGAACTTTCCTTTGGAGCTGAGTCCGAAGTGGGGTCTCAACAGCTGAACCTGGCAGGGCGGATGGGCCCCAGTGGGACGTGTCTCAGCTCTCCCTTCTTTGTCTCCCACAGGGGTGAAGAAGAGAACCAAAGTCATCAAGAACAGTGTGAACCCCGTGTGGAATGAGGTACACCATCTTTTTCCCCCCTCCCTAACCTGTCTCTGCCTCTGCTACCTCTGCAGGGGGCTGTCCCAAGAGGCAGCTTTCTCAGGAGGGTAGGGATCCAGCTCTATCCAGAGACCCTGCCCACAGTGCATGCTGATGGGTGGGGGGGGGTTGGGGGGGAGATGCTTGTTTTTGTTTTCATTTTGTTTTGTTTCGTTTTTGTCTCTGCTTTCCAGCTCAGGCCAGCCAGGTCTCCCTTGCCTGTCTACTTTCGTTCTCACAGGCCAAAGCTACCTCCTCTCCATAGCATGTCCCTGTTTAACCAAGTCCACCGTTGTTTCCACTGGTTCTGTCCCCTTGTGCAGCTTTCTGTAGAGATGGCTTCCATGTGGTCCTCTGAAGCACAGCTGAGGACAGAGTCAGGTGCAGAGAGGGACCTCTGATAGGCTCTCCTTAACTTACTCATTCTGCCCACCAGGAGTCTGGCTTTTGGATGACCATATGATCTTGGTGTGAGGACCCTGAAGGATGATCACCTGGCATTGTTACTGCTGTGCTTTTGTTGTAGTATCCTGGGATGAGTTGGAGAGGAGGCTAGTGCAGTGAGGCTTCCTCTTCTGTTTTGTTGTCTCTAGTTCTTAGCATCACCTCTGAAGCTCTGGGATTCTGGTATCCATCTGATGGGGAATGTACTACTGTGTATGCTTATCTTATTGATTGTTAAATAAAATACTGTTTGGCCAATGAGACAGCAAGTTAGACAGAACTAGAAGTCAAAGAGGATTCTGGGAAATGTAGTACAGAAGTGCTGATCCAGGCAGGAAGTAACATAGCAAGGAGACTCATATTTAAGCAAAGAAGAAACAGGAAGGGTCCCTTTTTCCCCATTTGCCTCCCCCAGCAGCAGGATGTGAGCCACCAGCAAGGAGGGACGCCAATAAGATGTCTGATAAGATAAGTCTTATAAAATATATAGATGTATGATAATTGAGACTGAACTAACAGATGAGAATCCTAGTCATTGGCCAAGCAGCATTGTACCTAATACAAGTTTCTGTGTATTCATTTGGGCCTAACTCAGGCAGGTGGCTGGTGTAAAGTGCACACGTGGCGGTGGGGCTCAGGCAGCTTTTGGCGGAAAGATTTATCGTAACATCCATCCATCCATCCATCTATACATACATACATACATACATACATACATACATACATACATGCATGCATCAACTCACTCATCCATGTATTCATCTATCCTCCAACCCATCTATCTATTCATCTAGCTACCTTTCCACCCATCTATCCACCCATTCATGTATCTACCCACCCACAAAACCATCAATATATTCATCCATTTACCCACTCACCTACCCACCTATCATTCATCCCACCTAGCTTCCTACCCTTTATCTAAGCATCCACCCATCCATGCATCCAATCACTCGCCTACTTGTCCAAGTATCCAGCCATCCATGCACCTACCCTCCATCCCACCCATGTATTCATTCACCCACCCTTACATCCACTCACTCCTTGATTTACTTACCTACTCACCCATCCATCCATCCATGTACTTATCCATCTATGCATCTTCCTGCTGCTATGATGAAACAACATGATCAAAAGCAATTTGGGGAGGAAAGGATTTATTTAGTTTATGCTTCCGTGTCACTGTTCATCATTGAATGAAGACAGGAGAAGTACCCAAACAAGTTGGCAGTACTCAAACTAGAGTCAGGAGCTGATGTAGAGGCTAAGGAGGGCTGCTTCTTACTGGCTCCCCATGCTCAGCCTGCTTTTTTTTTTTTTTTTTTGAGACAGGATTTCTATGTGGCTTTGGAGGCTGTCCTGAAACTCACTTTGTAGACCAGGCTGGCCTTGAACTCACAGAGATCCTCATGCCTCTGCCTCCCGAGGTCTGGGATTAAAGGCATGTGCTATCACTGTCCAGCAGCCTGCTTTCTTAAAGAACCTAGAACCACAATGGACTAGGCCCTCACATCAATCATTAATTGAGAAAATGCCCTACTGGCTTGCCTACAGCTAGATGGTATGGAGGCATTTTTTTTTTTTTTTTTTTTTTCTTTTGTAGCTTTGGAGGCTGTCCGGGCACTCACTCTGGAGACCTGGCTGGCCTCGAACTCACAGAGATCCGCCTGCCTCTGCCTCCCGAGTGCTGGGATTAAAGGCGTGCGCCACCAACGCCCGGCTGGCATTTTCTTAATTGAGGCTCCTTCCTCTCCAATGATTCTAGCTTGTGTCAAGTTGACTTAAAACTAGCCAGCACAACATCCATCATCCACTTCCCTCACCTACTCATCCATCCATCATCCATCCATCCATCCATCCATCCATTCATCCACCAACCCACCCACCTATATAATGCTCATCCATGAACACCAGTCTGAATGTCTGCTTACCACATGTTAAATTACCTTTTCTTTCTTTTTTTTTTTTCCAGGGCTTTGAGTGGGACCTCAAAGGTATTCCTCTAGACCAGGGCTCAGAACTTCATGTGGTGGTCAAGGACCATGAGACAATGGGGAGAAATAGGTGAGTGGGTCCAACAGTGGCCTGGGAACTTGAAGGTATAGGTGAGTTTTGATGAATATAGACCCTGGAATCAGAGCTCCCAAGGGCCAGTGCTTCCTGTTAGCATTTACTTACTGAAGACAGCTTTTCATGGACCGATCCAGTGGTGGATGCTGGAGCAAAACCTTGCTGTAGCCTCAGGAACTTGGCTGACATTGCTGCTGGGAGCTGCACAGGCTGCAGGGGAGGGAAGGTGTGCTGGGATCAAGTGTCCAGGAGTTTTTGTGCAAGAGTGCAGGCTGTGGGGAGCAGGTAGGAGCAGGTTCCAGTCTCTCCCTGTAGCCTCTTGCTGGAAGGGGGTATTCCTTGCCTTTTCCTGGCTGGTGAAGGCAGCTACACACACTCCAGAAGGTGGGTAGACAAAGAGAAGCTGCAGCTAGGAGCGGGCAGAGGAGGAGGGCTGAATGGAAGAAGTGGACCCTGAGGTAAGAACTGTGATACTGAAGTATCCATTATCCACTTCCCTCACCTAGCAGCCTCCCTGCCTCCCTTCCTCCCTCCCTCCCTCTCACTCCTTCTTCCCTCCCCCATCATGTGATGTGTGGTGTGTGTGTACGTGTGTGTGAGTGTGTGTGTGTGTGTTCAAAGCACTCGAACACTTTAGTTAGGTTGACAAAATCTTACTGGCAAAAGCAGACTCTGTCTAGGTAGGTGATGAGTGACTTCCTTGAGCCTTATAAATAGAGTGGTCGGCAAGACTTCCAAAGCTTGATGGGCGGGTTGGCTGTGGGTATAAGTGGCCCGGAGACATAGCCTGAGAGGATCTATGGATACAGGACTTAGGTAAGGATAGGGATCAGTGGGGGGTACAGGGTGCAGTTGTGCTGAGTGGGCTCAAGTGCCTGGTGTTGTTCACTGATTATCTGGCCCCGAGGAGCATGGGCTGGCTGCTCACAGACGTGCCCACAGGGGAGCCTTTGTTTGGGAACTGGGTCAGCTGTATCTGAGTCAGGGAGTCTTGGTTATGTGAACCTGAGTGTGGAGAGTGGGAAGGAGGAGGGATCAGGAACGCAGGGAGGGCCTCAGGCTGTGAAACACCTGCAAAGTTTGAAACCTTCAAAGCTGAGAGGAAGAATCTAAACCATTACTGTTTCTTTGTGGTTCAAGCTGGTTCTGGGTTCACGATCTGGCGTCCCTGAGGCATGAGAGGGCTCTCCTTGTGCCTCTGAAGTGGTGCAGCGTGGGGAGCCCAGACTGCCACTGGAGAAACTCAGTGTATCTCTTGTCTTTTCCAGTCAGGACCCTCTTGAGGCATTTATATATGACTTTGGATATATAACTATATAAAGTGGGTAAATTAAATATTTACTGATAATAGCTCATAAAGAAATTTACTTTAAATGGACATTAAAGTAAAAGTGTGCACCACACTTTTAATCCTGGCACTTGGGAGGCAGAGGCAGGCAGATCTCTGTGATTTGGAAGCTAGCTTGGTGTACATAGCAAGTTCCAGGCTATCCAGGGCTACACAGTGAGATCAAAAATATTTTTTTTATGTTTTTTATATAATGTTACCATTTATTGAAGATGAGAGCAACTTTGCATCCTGACATGGATGTGCTTTAATTTTACCTGAATATTAACTCTCAGCTGAGTATTTGATACTGCAGGACAGAGCATCATCCTGTAGAGTGGTTTGGTATTTTGATTTTAGAGCCATCAATGTTCAGAGTGCCACTTCACTTAAGTACACAGTGCCAAATGGCAGAAGAATGTCTAGGGCCATTTTAGAAATTTTTGGAGATTCATTCCTATCCTAAATCAAAATTAATTTAATATTTTAAGATGAAATTCAAATCATCAACCCAAACAGCAGTTATTAAAATAAAACACATGAACACAATGTAATCTAAAGATATATTCATCTAGTACCTATTGTAACAAGGCCCCAGACTTTAGCACAACTGACTCCATGGTGGAAGTGCCATTCAAGCTGTAAAATATAGCACGGAGACAGCACCACCACCAAAGTCAAAACAAAGACCTAATCCATCAAAGTCCATACATCTGGGAAAGTCTCTAAATGTACTAACCTGGCATTTTGGCTTCTGTAGTTCTGGCCAACTGTTCTTATTAACCAAAATATGCCAACCCAGAACATGATTTTGTTCTTAAAAGCTCTTCCTGAGAAAGACTCAGTGCTACACTGGGATCCCTGAACATCCAGTGTAGTTGCCAGCTGGCTAATGGCTTTCTATTGGCTTAAACCCATTTTTGAGCAGTCGTTTCTGGTGAATACCCACAACACTTACATGCTGAAGATGATAGTAAGAAAGTGGTAGGAAATGCTAAGGTTTTCTACAAGAGCAAAAAACTTTGCATGTACACTTAAATACCCTGGGGTCTCCAGCATACAGTCTTGAACCTAAGCCCAGATGTTTGAGGCAGTGTTTGTGAGTCTTGCTTGGCATGATGACATGCACAGTGCAAGGTGCGTATGCGCAGTCTGTGTGCTCAGAGCCAAGTCTCCTTGAAGGGACATAGGTAAGCACTGCCATTATCTTGTTTATTCCAAATTGTGTTTTTGATGGGTTTAGAAATCTTTTCCTGTTTTTTTCTCTTTCTTTTTTTTTCTCTCCCTCCCTCCCTCCCTCCCTCCCTCCCTTCCTTCCTTCCTTTTTTTGAGACAGGATCTCTTTACATAACCCTATAGGTTAGCCTTGAACTCACATGGATCTGCCTACCTCTGTCTCCAGAATGAAGAACGAAAAGCATGCCCCACCACACCTGGCTGAGTTTAGAAAATTTTACCATTGCTAAGTGTTTTGCAATGTTCACATTAAGTTATGAGATGCTACCTAACCCAAGGTTTAGGAAGCTGTGGCCCACAGCTCTTGAGATGCCTCACTGCAGGCCAAGAGGTAAGGGCCCTGACATTCAAGCTTGATGACCTGGGGCCCACACAGAGGTGGAAAAAGACTTCTTGACGTTGTGCCTTGACCATGGCACGCCTGACATCTTACACACACACACACACACACACACACACACACACACACACAGTAATTAAGAATAATCAATTAATTAATAAACTAAAGCTGTGGTCTTTGCTACCTTCTCAGCTAGATGCTTTGTGGAAGGCAGACACCTCCATCATCCTCCATGAGGTACCAATGAGCTTGAAGGTAGACCTGCAGTCTAGGCAGGGAGCAATTCTGGACACTGGGCAGTCTGGGAAGGCTTTCTGGAGAAGGGCCCACAGTCACCCAGGGCCAGGATATGGAGGGGAAAGTGGTTCCGGTGTGTGGGAGCAGGGGTAGTGAGTTCTTGTGGGAATTCAGGGTGTGACAGATGCAGCCTTGTTGAGAAGGGAGTGGTGGGCGAACAGTAGCAAAGGAGAACCTTCCAGCTGGCCCTGGACAGAGCTTAGCTGGGTTCCTGGCCCTGTGTAAGCCTGGTATATGAGATGAGATCTTTCTCTATCAGATGCTGCTGTCATCATCCTTACAGACGGGAAACAGAGACTCTAAGATTAGATTGGTGACATTCCCAAAGAGCTATGCTGGAGCTGTGTGTGGCCAGAGGGCAGGTGTTTGTGTTCTTTCTCTTAGCTCTGGAATCTCTGCATTTTAGAGGCTCCCAAGGCCCCTGGCAGCTGGCCTCTGGGCTCTCTGCATAGTTCAGTTCCTCTGATGACGTAGGAGTTGAGAGTTTAGTGAGGCAAAGGTGGACAGCCTGGGTACTGCAGGCCAAGAGGAAATGCAGGTTTCATTTTCATGTCTTCATTATCATATTCAGCACTTTCCTAGGAGCTGTGGGAGGAGTCTGAGACCCCAGAGGGGACAGGAGAGCAGGGATTGTGGACATAGTTTTGGTTAGTTCACGGGCTAGGCTGGGCATACAGGGGACAGCTCATGGCTACATAGAGGCTGTCTGGCTCTGTGGGTCATACGTTTTGCAGAGGGAGGATGTATACATCATCTCACTGGTCCCTGTTGGTGTCCTCTGGCTCACTAGTTCCCATGTGAGCAGGTCATCGCAGGCCAGCATGCTGGGAAGCAGTTCCTTAAACCTCCACATCCAGAATATCCAGTTCACTAGGCATCATCACTTACCAGAACTTTCTGTCTTACAAACACTTGGATGTGTTCTTTTTTTTTAAATTTTTCTAAGCATTTATCTTAATCTGGTGGTCAGCGATTAAAAATTAAATTGTAATAGACTAAGTTTAAATTTAGGCCCACATTTGTGAATATCTGCAGAAGGACAGAGCTACCTAAACACCCTATTCTGTGAGGGAATGGTCAGAACAAATGGGTCTGTGGGCTTCACGGCACCTAACTTTAATGTCTGTGCCTTAGGTAATCCTATCCAAAGCAGCAGGAGGGGACATTGTCCCTGCATGGTAATTCCTCATTGTCAGACTGAAAACTACACTCAAAAGCTTGTATAAGAAAAGAAGAAAAATGGGCTATGGAGATGGCTCAGCTGGCAATGTACTTGCTATGCAAGCTTGAGGACCCCAGTTTAGCTCCCTGGCACCCACATACCCTGTCTGGATATGACAGCATGCAATTGTAGCGCCAGTGCCAGGGGCACAGGATCAGGTGGCTGGCTCTCTGGTACTTACTGGCCAGCCAATCTAGCTGAAACAGGGAACTCCAGGTTCAGTGAGAGAACTTGTCTCAAAAAAATAAGATGGAGAGAATGAAGAAAGTACCCCAAATCAACCTCTGGCCTTCTCACACACATCCCAGGCAGTGACCCCTCCCACCCCACATTTACACACACATGCATAGCACACACACACACACACACACACACACACACACACACACACACATATATATATATATAAATGGAAAGGAATCAAACCCAGAAACATTAAAAATTCTAAGACTAAAATAGGAAACATACTAAGCAGTCGAAAGGACAGCCACACGACATTAAAATTTTCAGGGACAAAGAAGTTTAGTGATTCAGTACAGTTTGAATGAGAATCCCCCCCCCCACCAGACTCA